AATAAAGGAAACATTTCAGTATACAGTAGGAAAGTAGGATGTATGTTTCTAGTAAAGAAGTCATGAGGAATGGAATCGCATTTTTTTAAGGGAAAAGGAAGTAGGCCTGACTTATAGCTGGCTGTTTCTGAATGGGAAATAAAGTGATGGATACAGAAAGTCATAAAAAGGTTTGTGGAAAGGGGACCCCAAGAAAAGAGTTTTGTGCATGGTCTGGATTGACTAAGGTTAAAATAAATTTAATTGAGTAAATGAATGTTATTTATTTATTTTTTATTATTTGTTCATTTATTTTTGGCCATGTTGGGTCTTTGTTGCTGCACGTAGGCTTTCTCTAGTTGCAGCGGGTGGGGCTACTCTTTGTTGTGGTGTGCAGGCTTCTCATTGTGGTGGCTTCTCTTGTTGTGGAGCACGGGGGCTCTAGGCATGTGGGCTCAGTAGTTGTGGCTCACGGGCTCTAGAGCGCAGGCTAAGTAGTTGTGGCGCATGGGCTTAGTTGCTCCGAGGCACGTGGGATCTTCCCAGACCAGGGCTCGAACCCATGTCCCCTGCATTGGCAGGCGGATTCTTAAGCACTGCACACCAGGGAAGTCCCGTAAATGAATTTCAAAAGTAAGCGGGTGCAAAACTTGAATTTGTTTTTTCTCTCTCAAGAGGGCAAGATTTCTGACAATGTTGAAACGCCTTTGATAACAGATTTCAAGTTTCTTTACCTTATAAGTGACCTGTTCTGTATTTGCCTTTGGAATCTTTTATTGTTACTTGGGCTAAGTGAATAACTATTGTTTCACAGTGACTTGTGATCCTATCTGACTGAGTGTTCTAAATCCTTTTTGATATTTTTTGACAAAACTTCCTAAATCAAATTTTAATGACATCCTTTTGATCTCTAGCTAACTCTGGGATGCTTCAAAGGGCCCCTGATACATCCCAAAGAGAGATGTTAAACTAATTAGATTCATTTGGTATGTTAAATTACATGGGAAGTAATGTCAAACGAGTAATAAATCTTCTTAGGTTATATTGTATGGTAAATGTTACTAATAAAGATATCCTAGAAATTATATGGAGTTCCTAAAATTCTGATCTGTCCTGGTAAAATGTTATCAGTCATAATTCTAGTTATTATCTTAAAGTGTTGTATGTCACAGTAGTAACCAAGTTTCTTTGTTAATTGCATTGTAATCAGATTTTAAACGTGCCTTAAATTTTCTGTCATTATAGACACTTACAGTTTCACTCTAATGCCTTTGCAAAAATGCTTCTTCTTCAAGAAAACTTATAGAAAGGACTTTTGGATAAATACAAGTTTCTGACTTTCAGACCATAATGCTGAACTGGGTAAGAAATTGAAGAATCTAATGAAAAACCTGATGGCTTCATAAAGCTGTTAACAAAAAGGATTAGTTACATAGGACTGAGTGAACTGGTGAATATGGTTGTAAATTTTATGGTTTCTATCTGAAAAATTACTGGTTTAAATCTGTGTTTTCCAGATGTAAGGAAAACCTTCCCCTCAAACTAATTATGACTTATAGTAATTTGGTAAATTATACCTTTGTAAGCAGGATTGAAACATTTATCTTTGCTATCTGTCCGCTCCAGACACTGGAAACTCTCAGGTTGCCAGTAGCTTTATCAGATAAATTAGGAAGGCTACCTCACTAACAGGTACAGAAAACTCAAGGTATTTTGGGACCTTGAAAAGGGAGGAGTTCACCTAGATCTGTTAGGTGAAATCTGTGATAAGCCCTTGGTGACTTTCTTAGCCCTGAGAGGTATTTTAAAAGTCCAGCCTGAGACTCCTTATAAAGGTTTCAGCAAGCAAAAAGCCTATATGATCAATTATAGTTATATATCATCAGGCCAAGTGTATTGAGACAAGATTTATTTTGCAAACAAATTAGTCTTAATTTGGTTATATTTGGTAGAAATGAGGGTAATTTTAGAGAGAAAAAGATGTTTCAATGAATGTTAAATCCCAGTTTTGTTAATGGAGGTCTGTATTTACTAAGACTCACTTCCAGGGTAGTTCCTTGTTGTTATGTTATACTGATATAAAGTTAAATTGTATTATTAAAAGCACACTCTAAGTTTGTTTTTGAAGCTTATCTCAGTAATCTATCTTTGGATGAAGATCATTTGCCCTATGACCTGCAACCAGGGGACTATGTATATTGGAAAAGACATCATTTAAAGGACTCACTCCAACCCAGATGGAAAGGCCCTCACCAGGTACCCTTAACTAGCTCATGTGCAGCAAAACTAAAGGGATCCACTCTTGGATTCATATTTCCCACTTAAAAAGGGCTGCTGCACCGGACTGGTCTATAGAGAGGACTGCTGACCTCAAACTCACCTTAAAACACCGCTCAAACAGAGGAAACTACACTCACACCAGGATGAGAAGAAGACAACATCAGAAGCAGACAGCTTACCCAAGATGCTGGACCTGATTCGTATTATCATTTATAAAGCTTTCTTGACTTCTCAGACCTTTGCATATAAATCAAATGTTTTCTATCATGGACACGATCCTATGCTAGTTTAAAAAATCAATCCAATTGTTGGGTTTGTGGCCAATCACCTTTGTCTAGTACTTCTGGATTACCTTGGTGGATTGCTCTACTCCAAGGCTCTAATTGGATGGTCCTTAGGAAATTTATTTCAGAAGAAAGAAAGTTCAGTCCTGTTCAGGCTACTCTTGATATTACTAGATGGGATCCCCTCACCTAGACAGTTAATAATACCTGCTCTGACCCTGGCCATAAAAAAATGAATTTTCCTCTAAAGTTACTCAAGCTCAATCAGAGCAACAGCAAAATTTCAGCCAAGGAATAAAAGCTCCCGCAATTATGGGATGGATTTATGTGGTTAACACCAGGCTATGGTCATTTAAGTTTTAAGGCACCCTTTTACCTTGGGAACAATCAAATTATACTAAGGATAACCAGCGTAGTAACTAGGAAATTGGGCTGGGAGCCTTATGGACAGTGACAATACACCATTTCCCTGAAAGATAACGATTGGTACAGAACAGACTAAGTCAGGTGAGCTGAAGATATACTGGGCTGTACCTAATGGAAGTTCTTGGCTTAATTCTCACTTATGACTTTAATAATATTGCTAGCTATGTTATTTTCCTGTTTTACAAGATTGTTGTTTCTTGCATTACCAAATGTGTGACTGAGCCTCCAACAAAAATATATAGTTTTATATGAGATCAATGATTGTAATACTGTAACTCTAGATATGGGATGATACAACAAGAGGGAATTTTCCTGGACCATAACAGATTAGTAAGACAGGTGGTCCAGAGTCTTTAGTTACTGTTAAAAGACCTAGTCCAGTAATAGCACACTGAGTGGCCTATCAGCAAAATCTTCACCAGACCTAGGAATGAGCCTTCCTAGCACCGTGGGACGAAATGGTCATGAAATGCCTCCCAAATCATGGTCGAGTTTATGACCATGAGGAGGCGCTGTCAACTACAAATTGGCACTTGCCATTGGCACTTACCAACTCCCTTACAAGGATTAAATCGTGTGCTGCTGCAGCTACTGATTTTCAACACGCCCTGAAAGGAGTTCAGGGTGGAGAGCAGAAATGAGGCGCTCTGTGCTCTGGGAAAAACTGGCAGAATAGGTCTTCAGATAGATATTTTCAGGACCGATTTTATGAGCCCAATTCTTGTATCTCCTCATATCTAGAAAAGCACTAAAATCCTTCCCGGTGATGTCTGCTCCTCGTGACTAGCAGAAACCTTCTGCAAAAAAATATATGCTTGATTGCATGCGTTCCCCCTTCACCAAAATCACATATATACTGACCTTCCCCCCCTACATCTTTGGAGCAGTTTCTCAGAGCTATCTGAAATGCTGTCTCCCGAGCTGCAGTCCTCATTTTGCCCCAAATAAAACTTAACTCGCAACTCTCACATTGTGCATTTTTTCTTAAGTCGACAGAAGCAAACACTCTAGTGGTGAGAGACACACTGTTAAATAAACACAAGGCATGCCAGATGCTGTTAACTGCTGTGGAAAAAATAAATGTACCTTAATAAATGTATATTATTAAGTGAAAGAAAACAATCTGAAAAGGCTACATACTGTATGTATTCTGGAAAAGGCAAAACCATGGAGAGAGTAAAAAGATCAGTGGTTGCCAAGGGTTCGAGAGGAGGGACAGATGAACGGGGGACACAGTGAATTTTTAAGGCAGTGGAACTATTCCGTATGATATATGTCATTATACATTTGTCAAAACTCATCAAGTATTACACAGTGAACCCTAATGTAAACTATGGACTTTAGTTAATGTATTAATACAGTCTCACCATTACAACAAATGTACTTTACTATCGCAAGATGTTAATAAATGGAAAGCTGGCAGAAGGAATTAAGGGGTATATGGGAACTCTGTTCTTTCCACTCTTTTTTCTATAGACCTGAAACTACTAAAAAAAAGAAGTCTATTAATTAAAACACATACACACACACACACAAAAGACAGGAAGTGCAATGTGTATGTGTTGGAGGTGGGGTAGTTTGCCTTGGGAGTTTAGAGTCTGGGAGATGACGGGATGACTTGAGTACTCTGAGCTTCTTAGGGTGACAGAGCCATATATTGGGATAAACAGTAAATTGAGGTTAGTGATGACAGCCTCAAGACAGAGAGGTGATGAGAATGTGGTAGGGTGGAGTCTTTCTGGGGCCCCTTCCTGATAATGGTGATGATGATGCCATGGTGGGGGCATTCTTATTAATGGCAACAGACTTCATGCTCTCCCACAATCTGTGAAATTTATTGAGATTTCTGGCCTATAAAACTGGAGAATATAGCAAACCCCCTGCACTATCCTCCTTCCTTTTTCAAGTGGTAACAAGTACTTCAATCTGTTCTTAGTTTTATATTTGATATTTAAATATTCTTTATGGGAGTGTACCTATTCCTACCAAGAAAATAGGTTTTGAAATCTTCACTCTTTTGAGTATATTTACTTTTATATGAAGGTAAACGTTCCCAGGAGCCGTCTTCACATTTCTTCATGAACTGGTCAAAGAGGAGTCTTAAGTCCTTGCTCCAGCTGGGGTTGGGGAGAGCATGGTCCTTAGGAATGACTTTCTCCGTAGAAAACCACCTCTAAAAGAAAGGAAAAAAAGGAGAGTAATGGGAGGTACATCCTATTTCATAACATATTCTCTTATTTTCTAAGACTATCTTGCTGCTTTTCCTCTTCCCAAAAGCTTGGTTTTTTTTTTGTTTTGTTTTTTGCGGTAGGCGGGCCTCTCACTGTTGTGGCCTCTCCCGTTGCGGAGCACAGGCTCCGGACACGCAGGCTCAGCGGCCATGGCTCACAGGCCCAGCCGCTCCGCGGCATGTGGGATCTTCCCAGACCGGGGCACAAACCCGTGTCCCCTGCATCGGCAGGCAGACCCTCAACCACTGAGCCACCAGGGAAGCCCCAAGCTTGTTGTTTTGAAGTGGAAACAAATTTCTAGGATCACCTGGTCCTCTCTCCTTGGGAGAATTGGGAGATTGAGAGAGGATAAATGATTTGCTCAATGTCACCCAACTAGCCATTAGCAGAGTTGGTACTAAGCCCAGGTCTTCAGACCCCCTTCTTTTTTTTAAACCTTAATCCAACACAGGTCAGCCACGTCAACTACAAACCGGCACTTGCCATCCATCTCTACAAGGATTAAATCACGTGCTGCTGCACCTGCTGACTTTCGACACCCCCGGAAAGGAGCTCAGGGTGGAGGACAGAAATGAGGCGCCCTGTGCTCTGGGAAACACTGGCAGAACAGGTCTGCAGATGGTTAGGTATTTTCAGGAGCTGATTTTTTTTTTTTTTTTTTTGGCGGTACGCGGGCCTCTCCCGTTGCGGAGCACAGGCTCCGGACACGCAGGCTCAGCGGCCATGGCTCGCGGGCCCAGCCGCTCCGCGGCATGTGGGATCTTCCCGGACCGGGGCACGAACCCGTGTCCCCTGCATCGGCAGGCGGACTCTCAACCACTGCGCCACCAGGGAAGCCCAAGAAAGGAGTCTTTAAAGAATCATGAAGGTGGTACTTGAGTGGCAAAGTACTTTTTCCATTATGGGGAGGCTTAAGGAGTTTTAAGCAAAGCAGTAACATGAAATTAGGTTTTAGAAAGCTCCCTCTGATGTAAAGGATGAATTGTAAGGTGAGAAGCAATGGTAAGGAAACCAGTTAAAAGACTGTTGTAAAGGTCCAGGAGAAATGTGGTCAGAAGGTGAACTAGGTAGAGAGGAATGAAAAAGATTTAAGAGATATTTAGGATATTGGGGCCAAGGATTGTGGCATGGGTTTGATCCCTGGTCAGGGAACTAAGATCCCACATGCCATGCGGAGCCAAAAAAGGGAAAAAAAAGATTGTTGCATTTAGCTGAATCCCCCAGACTTTCAAAGTTACAATCAGGTAGGAGAGCCCAGGGTCAAGGGAGTCATTCTAATTCCTAAAAGCCTTTATTATCTCTGTTGCACTGGTCCATGAAAGGATGCTAGAACTGATCAAACCTAGAGTTCCCTATTTAAGATGAGACCTATGGATGCGGTAAGCCCAAATTCACAACTCCAAAGCTTACACATCCTATTCTACCTCTTAATTGACAGGTATTAGTCAATACATATTAATTTATGACTAATTGTGTGTGTTAGGTTACTTCCAGAATTTATGTACTTTAAAAACTACATGATTGGGGTGGGTAGGGAGGGTGGGAGGGAGGCGTAAGATCATGGGGGAAGAGAAAGTAGAAGAGTTTTGGATGATTCTTGACTTGTGGTTTGAAGGTTGGAGTGGATAGAAGGAAAAGAAAGGGGAGGTTTTTGTTAGTGTTCATGTACACGTCAGGAGGCGGAAAGTAGGAGTGAAACCATTAATTTTAGTTTGGGGCATGTTGAGTTTGGGACCACAGATGAACACTATGATGTTGTGAGAAATAAAAATAATGAAAGTTTCAGTCCAAGGAGATGAGAATTAAGAGATACTTGAAGTAAAGGCACCTGTAAATACACAGCATAGACTCTGGGCATGAGGGATGTGAGGGATAATCACTATTTTTTGTTGCCCTGAATAGAGGAAAGGTCTTGCTAGATCTCTGATTATGTATTTTTCAAGTGGGACTTAAGTTACAACTTTTTTTTTTTTTCAGTACACGGGCCTCTCACTGTTGTGGCCTCCCCTGTTGCGGAGCACAGGCTCTGGACACGCAGGCTCAGTGGCCATGGCTCACGGGCCCAGCCGCTCCGCGGCATGTGGGATCTTCCCGGACCGGGGCACGAACCTGTGTCCCCTGCATCGGCAGGCGGACTCTCAACCACTGCGCCACCAGGGAAGCCCAGTTACAACTTTTTAATGTGTCTCTTTTTAAGATTAAGTTACTGAACCAAAAGAAGCATGATTTGTAAGCCCTGTAAATACTACTGTTATAAAGCCTGAAATATTCTCAACATAGATTACAAGACACCAACATATTAAAGAAACGAATCTATCTTTGTTGTGAGATTAGCACAGGGCATTTTATTTTCCAAAGTGCACTATGGTACAGGATTAATAACCGATCTGCACTCATTATTCTTTAAAAGTAAGCTGGCACAGGCTCCTTCTCTGGGCTTCGGTTCTGTGGGAGGCGCAGCAGAGCCCGCGTCGTCACTTCCCGGCGAGCTTGAGGGGGCCACAGGGCCTTGTCCTACCGCAGTGGTCCGCCGCTGGCTCGCTGGTTCGGGAGCAGGGCGCTGTAGCCACCCATCCCGGTCAAGGTGTTTGATAAACAGAAGCCCCAGAGTATCGGGAGCCTGCAACCCTTCGCCTGGAACGGCGGTTCAGGCGTGAACCGTGCTGACAGAGGATGGCAGCCTCCGGGGTGGAGAAGAGTGGCAAGAAGACCGAAAAGAAACTTGCTGCTCGAGAGGAAGCTAAATTGGCAAACTTCATGGGCGTCATGAATAACATGCGGAAACAGTGATTTAAATCCACCACCCAACTATAGTTGAATCTACGGTCTACCCAGGGATTTATACCCAGGGTCAACTTGAAATCACGCTGGGAGGCACTGACTGCAGAACCTTGTTGACAAGCTACATAAATCCAAAGAAAACACTGTGTGATGTGATCCTTATGGTCCAGGAACGAAAGACAGCTGTTCACTGTGTTGTCCCTGCTGCAGCCAGTTATTTTTTAAACTCAATGTTCACAACTAACATGCTTGAATCAAAGTTCTTTGAAGTAGAACTCAAAGATGCTGAATCTGACATTATTAAATAACTTGTGGAATTCACTCATAGCATTAGAATTTCTGTGAATAGCAACAATGTTCAGCCTTTGTTAGATGCAGCAAACCAGTACTAGATTGAACCTGTGAAGAAATGTGTGTTGATTTTTTTCAAAGAACAAGTTGATGCTTCCAATTGTCTTGGTATAAGTGGGCTAGCAGAGTGTCTAGACTGTCCTAAATTGAACGCAACTGCAGATGACTTTATTCATCAGCATTTTACTGAATTTTATAAAACTAATGAATTTCTACAACTTGATGCCAGGTGAGTTACACATCTCCTCAATCAGGACACTCTAACTGTGAGAGCAGAGGATCAGGTTTACGACGCTGCAGTCAGGTGGTTGAAATATGATGAACCTAATTGCCAGCCATTTATGGTTGACATCCTTGCTAAAGTCAGGTTTCCTCTTATATTGAAGAATTTCTTAATTAAGACAGTAGAAGCTGAACCACTTATTCAAGACAATCCTGAATGCCTTAAAATGGTGATAAGTGGAATGAGGTATCATCTCCTGTCTCCAAAGGATTGAGAAGAACTGGTAGAAGACACAAGGCCCAGAAGAAAGAAACATGACTACCGCATAGCCCTATCTGGAGGCTCCCAACCACAGTCTTGTAGATACTTTAACCCAAAGTTGAAAAGAGAAGTATATTCTGCACGAGCCTGGAAGTGAGACTGTAACTTTAGAATCCTCTTTTGACATCTTTGTTCTTATAAATGGCCCACACTTAATGCTCTTTTTTATATTCAACCACAAGTCTTTAGACTTCAAGTGGAAAAATTTAAATAACTGCCAATAAAAACATCCTCATTCCATCAATTATTACTTATTCCCTAAAGCTAACACCATTAGAATCCCATTACAATATTTATTAAATGTTTCTATTAGAAGTGCCAGCCTCTCCTTTCTTTTTGCTAAAAACTTCACCTTAAAATTTTTTAACCATTTACTATTACTTATTTTAATATAAGTTGGTTGTCTTTATTATTTCTAATATTAAAACAATCAAGGAAGCTGATTTCATTATAAATTATTATTAGTTACCTTGACTCTCCCAAAGTGAACATTATTTCATTATTCATTCAAGCAGACTGCTTAATAATAAGGACTGTATAGAAATTGTTTTAACATTCTTGAACTTGGGACTTCCCTGGTGCTCCAGTGGTTAAGAATCTGCCTTCCAATGCAGGGAACACGGGTTGGATCCCTGGTCTTGGGGAACTAAGCTCCCACATGCGGCGGGGCAACTAAGCCCGTGCACCACAACGAAAGATCCCGCATGCCACAACTAAGTCGCAACAAAGATCCCGCGTGCCGCAACTAAGACCTGATGAAAGTTCTTGAACTTAACATTTTCAGAGATGTTAAAATGGTTTTAACTATCATTAAATGGGATCCACTTGTGTGTGTCCTTTACGAGTCCAAAATGATTATTTTCATTGACCTGATCTCCTTCAGAGAGGACAATTTAAGCAGTACCACTTAATTTAATTATCTAGAATTAAGCCAATATCCCTATAAACTATTATCTTTAGATATTCCTTGGATATAGCTGGTGAGAGGCAGCAAATATCTGTATTAATTGCTGACTGAAAAATGGTAAGACGGAATATCTTAACAGTTTTTCTAGTAGATAAGTAAAGTAGTAGATAAACTAGTAGTAGAGAACTAGGATTAAACCCTTGTTAGAGACGTACGCTTCTCCTGAGGGTATAATGTAATGGTTAGGAGGCAGACTGCTTCGGTTCAGATTCCAACTGTACCACGTGTTTTCTATGTGACCTTGCTTAAGGCACAACCTTTCTTTATTAATATTAGTAGCAGCTGTATTCCTTGACCTGCTAACATGACTCAAGCATCCTGCACACTTATTCAAAACGGGTCACCCCACCTAGAAGGGGGGATGGGAGGGGAGGCTCAAGAGGGAGGAGATATGGGGATATATGTATACGTATAGCTGATTCACTTTGTTATACAGCAGAAACTAACACACCATTGTAAAGCAATTATACTCCAATAAAGATGTTAAAAAAAAAAAAACCAACAAACGGCGTCACCCTCCTGTGCAGTTTCTTACGGCTTGAATCTCAGGACTGAAAGATCCGGTGACCCCGTTAACATTGATGCCTCTTGGAGCTGATGTTAGCTTTTATTCTGAGGTCAGCTGGCTGAGGAAATGGATAAAGAGCTGAACATATCCATATCACAGGGTTGTTCCTGACGGAAAGTCCCACCCCTCTGTCCACTTCCGCCGCCCAGCGCCCGGGACTTACCCGCGCGAGTACCGGGTCTCTCGCAGCGGGGAACGCGCCTTCCCGCCTGCCGCGCAGGGCCCGGAGCGTGCGCAGTGCCGCGGTGCAGCTCCTCAACATGGCTCCGAGCGTGCGCGGGGCTCCGGCCGCCGGAAGTGCGGCGGCTGGCTCCCGGGCGTGGCAGGGGCCAACTCACCCAACCAGCCACCCAACGGCCCGCTCTTCCTCTTTAACTTAGGGGAGCGGAGGGCGGGGCGTGAAGGCAGCGGGGGCGTCGGTCTTTTCGTCCGGTAAAATCCTAGGCCCTCCTCGGGCGCCGGAGCCACTTCCGGAGCAAATGTCAAGCTTCGAGAGGGCGGCTGGAGAGGCGCGCGCGGCGCCGGCGGCTCGGCGGCCTGGGGAGGACCAGGAGGCCTGGGAGGGCGGGTCCGCGGCTACAGCTCACGGCCCTCAGCCCCCTCAGCCCAGGTGGCCACGCGCTACTAATGAGGATTCGCTGGCTTTTTTCCCGACTCGCGTCGGCCGACCAAATTCTGTGCTCTCTGTTCCCTAGTAGTTCTACCTCGCGCAGAAGACTTAAGCCGTCAGGTGGGTAGGAGCGCACACAGCGGATTGTAGGAATAGAATATTTTCTTGGAGGCCATGGACAAATCCATGGTTGGGATTGATCTGTAGAGAGACTTCTGGGTGCAGAGGACATAACGCTTAGAAAGCTACGTTCTCCACCTCTTGCGCCGCCCCTCCACACACACCCTTAAGGCTCCGGGCAGAGCTAAAAGTCCTCGAGTCTGGCTTTTTCAACTAGAAATTGTAGCAACACCTGACGGATGTATTCATCTCTTAGCTTTGGAGACATATCTGAGCTCCAAGCCCCACTCCACCACCTAACACCTTGTACGCTCTTTAATTGTACCTGGGCCCTTGTTTCTTCACTGTTGTATTAAAAAGAATATATCAAGTTTTACTTGTTGCCAGGACCTTCTCTTTCAGTAGGAGTCACCGAAGTTAGAAGTTACTTGAAGTTACTTTGTATTCACCTCAGAAAGAAAGTACCCCCAGGCCAGTGGTGTGTTGAAGGTGACTTGAACAGTCTCATTAAAATTGTAAGTATTCGGCTAGCCAATCCTTAAACACTGCCATTATTAAAATTTAAATTATATAAACTTACAATTAAGTAATATTAAAAAAATGAAGGTATTGTAATGACACTCCCCAGTGAGTCCCCAGCAAGTGTCCTGACCGGTATCTTGGAGCCAGTAGGAGACCAAGTTTGGTTCGAACACAAACAAAGTCAAAGAATGAACAGGTGGGAGTTCAAGCTCTCGAGTACGTGCTGTTCCCCAAAGGCGTTTGGCTGGGGCTGCTTTGTAGGGTTCTTTTGGATTGCAGGGGCCTGTGCAGCACTTCTGGACAGGGGCCCAGAGCTGAGGTGCCAGGCCTTTTCACACTGGGAAAAGGTGCCTTTTCACACTGGGAACTCTGGTCTGAAGGGCCTGGTGTAAGATCTCTGCATGCAACACCCTGTGAGCAAGTGAAACTGGACTAAGCACAAAGAAAAAGAAAAAGGTTAAACTTTGTCTTATTACCCAGGAATTGGGTAATAAATATTTTTATTTCCCAGGAATTGTTAATGGGCTTGGCCGGTGACAGTATTAGATACTAAAAACTGTAACTACCTAATTATTTTTACTACATTTTACTATTGTATGTGCTCTTGAGGTTATTTATCTTTATCTCATTTGTATGGGGGGGAATACTAGGCACACATCTTCCCAACATCGCATTTAGTCACATCACAGTGGTAGCTTAAAATTGACTGACTGGGAGTATTCACTTAGATACTGCAAATGAGGGCCTTCCTTTCTTACCTTATTAAATATTTACCAATATACCACAGTCTTAGTCCATCCCGAGGTGAAGTTTTAAGACTCTTAATGGTTACTAGAATAACGGGTTACTAGAATTGCTTACCCCCAGCACATCATTACACAGTATTTTCCCACCAACAGAGCTTTGTAACTACTCACATAGTAAAGGTGGGACTGGAGGGATTAGTATCAGGAGAGATTTATCAGAGATAAATAAACTTGGCTTTGGGCTTGGGTCTAAGTTCAGAGAGGCCCCTTCTACTTTTTTTTTTTTTTGTGAGCAATTAGTATCAGATATTTTCCTTGATTACATGAACTTCTCCATCAGTTTGTCAGTAGGAAAGAATGCCCGGTGTATTTTAAACCCACCATATTAACTGGGAGTAAGGGTATAGCATTCTGAGATAGAGGGAATTTGAGAGTTAAGGCGTGTAAGAACGACTCAAACTGAAGATGATTTGGCGTAAGGGGTGGCTGTTGATATTCTGTAATTTTAGGAGACTATCTCATGGCCCCCCTTCCCCCAACACACGTACCATACCCTCTATCTCTAAGAGAAGTTGTCTCCTTTTCAGTATAGTATTCCAGTTTCCTGAGGGCGTGGACAGTGCCAAATTGTCTTGTTAATTGTAGTACTTCTTTTAATAGCTCACACACATTACTTCAATACTTGTTTAGCAGCAAGAGCCCGAAGTATTTTTTGTGTTTATTGTCTTTCCATGTGGTGCATGCAGATAGAGGCGCATTATAAAACAAACCCATAAATCAAGATGACTTCTGTTAGTGAATAAGAAGATAGGTTATACAGATAACTTAAAATTGTATATATGTACAAATTACAATGTAGTTAGAGTCCATCAAAACCCATAAATAGACTCCAGCCCTGCTAAGATTGTAACTGTACCAACAGCTCTTCTAGGTCAATTTCACTCAGTATAACTTTCAAATTTGTCAGGTAGTGGCAGTGCATTTGGATCCATCACCCACACTCTGACCTGGCTTCCTCACCAGGTATTTATCAGAGGTATTCATGTTGACAACACATGAAATGTCTGGCCGAGTTTGGAAGGAGATGGGGCGGATGACGGTCTAGGAATAGGATTGGTAGTCTTGGAAATGGAAGTTTTTCTTGGATGTTTGTGCGGCTTACGCAAAGAATAAATTTTCATCCTTGTTTTTGATAAAACTGTGCTTTAATGAAATAAGCCCACTGTGTGAAACTTGTGTTTTCACCATTCTCCTTTAATACTGTAAACAGCTTTATAGAGGTTTAATGGGGGCATATAATAAACTGCATGTATTTAAAGTGTACAAGTTGGTGAATTTTGCTACATGTAGACACCTATGAAAACATCACTACAATCAAGATAATGAGCCTGTCACCCACAAGTTTCCGTATGCCTCCTACCCTCAAGGCAAACACTGGTCTGCTTTCTTTCTTTTTTTAAAAATAAATTTATTTATTTTATTTTATTTGTTTTTGGCTGCGTTGGGTCTTCGTTGCTGTGCGCGGGCTTTCTCTAGTTTCTTTGAGCGGGGGCTACTCTTCGTTGTGGTGTGCAGGCTTCTCATTGCGGTGGCCTCTCTTGTTGCAGACCGCAGGCTCTAGGCAGGCGGGCTTCAGCAGTTGTGGCACGCAGGCTCTGTAGTTGTGGCTTGTGGGCTCTAGAGCGCAGGCTCAGTAGTTGTGGCGCACGGGCTTAGTTGCTTTGAGGCATGTGGGATCTTCCCAGACCAGGGCTCAAACCCGTGTCCCCTGCATTGACAGGCAGATTCTTAACCACTGTGCCACCAGAGAAGTCCCTGGTCAGCTTTCCGTCACTTATAGTTTACAATTTCTCACGTTTTAAATAGAATCATATAGTATATACTCTTTTTTAACATCTTGATTGGAGTATGATTGCTTTACAATGTTGTGTTAGTTTCTGCTTTATAACAAAGTGAATCAGCTATAAATATACATATATCCCCATATCCCCTCCCTCTTGCATTTCCCTCCCACCCTCCCTATCCCACTCCTCTAGGTGGTCACAAAGCACAGAGCTGATCTCCCTGTGCTATGTGGCTGCTTCCCACTAGCTAGCTATTTTACATTTGGTAGTGGATGTATGTCCATGCCACTCTCTTACTTCATCCCAGCTTACCCTTCCCCCTCCTCGTGTCCTCAAGTCCATTCTCTATGTCTGCGTCTTTATTCCTGTCCTGCTCCTAGGTTCTTCAGAACCATATATATATTTTTTAGATTCCATATATATGTGTTAGCATACGGTATTTGTTTTTCTCTTTCTGACTTACTGCACTCTGTACGACAGACTCTGGGTCCATCCACCTCACTACAAATAACTCAATTTCATTTCTTTTTATGGCTGAGTAATATTCCATTGTATATATGTGCTACATCTTCTTTATCCACTCATCTGTCGATGAACACTTAGGTTGCTTCCATGTACTGGCTATTGTAAATAGTACTGCAGTGAACATTGTGGTACACGACTCTTTTTTTTTTTTTGCGGTACGTGGGCCTCTCACTGTTGTGGCCTCTCCCCTTGTGGAGCACAGGCTCCAGACGCGCAGGCCCAGTGGCCATGGCTTACGGGCCCAGCCGCTCCGCGGCATGTGGGATCTTCCCGGACCGGGGCACGAACCTGTGTCCCCTGCATCGGCAGGCAGACTCTCAACCACTGCGCCACCAGGGAAGCCCCATGACTCTTTTTGAGTTATGGTTTTCTCAGGCTATGTGCCCAGTAGCAGGATTGCTGGGTCGTATGGTAGTTCTATTTTTAGTTTTTTAAGGAACCTCCGTACTGTTCTCCATAGTGGCTGTATCAATTTACATTCCCACCAACAGTGCAAGAGGGTTCCCTTTTCTCCACCCCCTCTCCAGCATTTCTTGTTTGCAGATTTTTTTAAATTTTTATTTATTTATTTTTGGCTGCATTAGGTCTTCATTCCTGCACATGGGCTTTCTTTAGTTGTGTCAAGCAGGGGCTACTCTTCGTTGTGGTGCATGGGCTTCTCACTGTGGTGGCTTCTCTTGTGGAGCACGGGCTCCAGGTGCGTGGGCTTCGGTAGGTGTGGCTCGCTGGCTTCAGTTGTTGTGGCTTACGGGCTCTAGAGCACAGGCTCAGCAACTGTGGCACATGGGCTTAGTTGCTTTGCGGAATGTGGGATCCTCCCGGACCAGGGATCAAACCCGTGTTCCCTGCATTGACAGGCAGATTCCTAACCACTGCACCACCAGGGAAGCCCTCCATATGAATTTTAAAATAAGTTTGTCAGTACCTACAAAAAACCCGTTGGGGATTTGAATTGACATCTTAGCATACTGAGTCTTCTCATGAGCAAGTTATACTCATCAACAAAACTTCTCATGAACAGGTTGTATATCTCCATTTATTTAAATCTTTTGTGATTTCCCTCAGCTATAATTTGTAATACAGGTCTTGTACATCTTTTGTAATATTTATCTTTAGGTATTTCATATGTATTGATGCTATTGTAAATAACATTTAAAATTTCAATCCCTGATTGTTTATTGCTTATATATGGAAATACAATTACTGTTTAATATATTGACCTTATATCTGTAAACTTGCTAAACTCATTTACTAGTTCTAGTAAGTTTTGTTTTTTAAAATTTTTTTTATATAAATTTATTTTATTTTTGGCTGCGCTGGGTCTTTGTTGTTGTGTGGGGGCTTTTCCCTGGTTGCGGCGAGCGGGGGCTACTCTTCTTTTTGGTGCACAGGCTTCTTGTTGCAGAGCATGGGCTCTAGCCGTGCAGATACTTCTAGTAACTTTTGATTAGATTTCTTAGATCTTCTACATAGACAAACATTTTATCTGCACCTTTTTAATAGATTCCTTAGATTTTCTACATAGATGATCATGTTATCTGAGTTTTACTTCTTCCTTTACTCTCTGGACAGATTTTTCTTTTGCCTATTGCACTGGCTAGAACCTCATGTACAGTGTTGAATAGTAGTGATGAAAGCAGATATGCTTGCCTTGTTGCTGATCTTGGGGAAAGTATTCAGTCTTTCACCATTAAGTATGATGTTAGCTGTACGTTTGTTGTATTGATAGATGCTCATTAACACATGGAGAAATCCTTCCTATTCCTCATTTGCTGAGAGTTTTTATTAGGAGTGGACGTTGGATTTAACCAAATGCTTTTTCTGCATCTATTAAGATGATCGTGTCATTTTTCTTTTTTAATTTGTTTAATATTGTGAATTACTCTGATTGACTTTGAATGTAAAACTAACCTTGCTTTCCCCAGATAAGCCACATGAGGGATATTGGTCTGTACTTTTCTTTCCTTGTAATATCTTTTTCTGGTTGTGATATTAAAGTAATGCTGGACTTATAGAGTGAGTTGGGAAGTATTATCCTCTTCAATTTTTTGGAAGAGTTTGTGTAGAATCGGCACTTTTTTCATAAATGTTTGATATAATTCACTAGTAAAGCCACCTGGGCATGGAGTTTACTTTGTGGGAAGGCTTTTAACCATGCATTCATTTTCTTTGGTAGATGCAGGGCTATTCCTACTGTAAGAACCTTGCAATAGTGTAATTTCTTCTCTTCTGGCCTTTATGCTCTTTTTGTCATGCATTTTACGTTTGTAAATGTTAAAACCCTCACAGTACATTGCTATTATTTTTGTTTATGCAGTCATTTGTCTTTTAAAGAATTTTAAATAATAAGAAAAAAATCTTATTCATTTAACCATGTAGTTTTAATTTCCGGTGCTCTTCATTCATTTGTGGAGATCCAGATTTCCATCTGGTATCTTTTTCTTCTGCTTGAGAACTTCCTTTATTTTTTGTACTGTGTGTCTGTGTGTGTGGTATGGGGTTCTTCTAGTGGGTAGTGTGGTAATGAGTTCTTTCAGCTTTCATATGTTTGAATATATCTTTATTTTACTGTCACTTTTGAAAGATTTTTGTTGAGTATAGAATTCTATGTTGACAGTTTTTTTCCTGTCAGTATTTTAAAGATACTGCTCTACTATATTCTCACTTGCATTCTTTCTTTCTCTTTTAAAAAATTAATTTATTATTTTTATTTTTGGCTGTGTTGGGTCTTTGTTGCTGTGCGCAGGCTTTCTCTAGTTGTGGCGAGCGAGGGCTACTCTTTGTTGCGGTGTGCAGGCTTCTCATTGGGTGGCTTCTCTTGTTGCAGAGCACGGGCTCTAGGCGCGTGGGCTTCAGTAGTTGTGGTGCTCGGGCTCAGTAGTTGTGGCTCACAGGCTCTAGAACGCAGGCTCAGTAGTTGTGGCTTATGGGCTTAGTTGCTCTGCGGCATGTGGGATCTTCCCGGACCAGGGCTCGAACCTGTGTCCCCTGCATTGGTAGGCGGATTCTTAACCACTGCGCCACCAGGGAAGCCCTCGCTTGCATTATTTCTGATGAGAGATCTGATGTCATCTTTATTTTTGTCTATATGTGAGATGCCTTTTTTCTTTGAATGCTTCTAAGATTTTCTCTTTATCACTGTTTTTTTTTTTTAAACAATTTGGCTATGATGTGCCTTGATGGTTTTTTTTTTTTTTCATATTTCTTGTGTTTGGGGCTCATTGGGATTCTTGGATCTGTGGATTAATAGTTTTCATCAAATTTGGGAAATTTTTGGCTATTATTTCTTCAACTTTATTTTCAGTTCTCTTCTCTCTCCCCTTTCTTTTAGGGACTCCAAATACTTGTATGTTAGGCCACATAACATTGTCTCACAGCTCACTGTTGCTCTTTTCTTTCTTTTTAAGTTTCATTAAAAAGATTCTCTTTTCTGTGTTTCATTTTGGATAGTTTATATTGCTATACCTTCATGTTAACGAATCTTTTCTTCTGAAATATGTAATCTGCTGTTAAATCCCATCCAGTGTATTTTTCATCTAAGACATTGTACTTTTATCTCTAAAAGTTTGATTTGGGTCTTTTTTTATATCTGCCATATCCCTACTTAACCTGTTGAACTTATAGAATACAGGTATAATAACTGTTTTAATGTCATTTTATGCCACTTCTAGTGTCTGTGTCAGTTCTGGGTTGGTTTCGACTAGCTGATTTTTCTCCTCAATATGGGTTGTATTTTCCTGCACCTCTGCAAGCCCGGTGATCTTTATTTAGATGAGGAAGAACTGAATGCCAGACATTGTGAATTTTACCCTGTCAGGTGCCAGATAGTTTTGTATTCCTGTAAATCTTGAGCTTTGCTCTGGGATGCAGTTAATTTACTGGGAAACAGTGTGATCCTTTTGAGTCTTGCTTTTAAGATTTGTTAGGAAGGACCAGAGCAGCGCTGAGTCTGCGGCAAGGTTTCTCAACCTCAGCACTGTTGGCATTTTGGACCAGATAATACTTTGTTGTCCTGTCCACTGCAAGATGTTTAGTAGCATCCTTGGCCTCCCCACTGGATGCTAGTAGCACCTTGCCTCTAGTCCTGACAAATCAAAAATGTCTCCAGATGTTACAGACATTGTCCCCTGGTTGGGGGCTGGGGAAGCAAAATTACCCCTGGCTGAGAACCATTAGTCAAGGGTTAATGATTTCCCACTACTGAAGAAAGACCTTTTTGATACTCTATCCAATGCCCTATGAAACATGATGTTTTCCAGTCTAAGCTGTTGGGAACAGGCTCTCTTCCTGGCCCTCTGTGAGTGCTGGGCACTGTTTACTCTCATTCTTTCAATAGTTCTCTCCTCAGCATCTGTGGGATAGTTTCCTCACACAAAGGCACCAATCAATACTCTGAATACACTCTGCAGATCTCCGGAGTTCTTTCTTTGTACAGGTCTGTCCTCTCTAGCACTCTGTCCCACAAACACTAGCCACCTTGGGTTCCCCATACTCTCAGCTGCACTTCCTCAACTCAGGAGTCCAACAGGTTCACCTGAGTTCCCCTCCCCTGTGTGGCAGCCTGGAAACCCTCTTAAGTTAAATCGTAGGGCTCTCTCCTCATTTGTTTCCAGTCTCTCAGGGATCACTGTCCTTCATTGGCTGCTGTCCAGTATCTTGAAAATTGTTGTTTCATATATTTTGTGTGGTGGTGGTGTTTTTTGTGGGGAGTGGGGTAGGGTCAGTGTTCTTTAAGGTGAGAGGGTAAATCCAGTCCTTGTTACTGCATCTTGGACTACAAGTTGGTCCTTTAATTTTTAACCTTAAACTGGGTGCCTTATTTCCTGGTAAACTTTCCCCCCACCCCCGGTAAACTTTTACATTACTTTTTTTAAAACTGCAAACTTAGACCTCTTTATAAAACAGAAGTCAGAATGAACGTGAACATATAAGCTATAGTGGACCTTAGATATTCTTGAGAGTTAAGTTTCAAGACCTTCACAAATCTCCAAAATTTCCAATATTACCATTGAGGGGGAGCAGAATATGTGACCCCAAAATATACCACTTTGGCATGTGGATTTTAAGTTGATGACAAACAAGGCCCAACAGACTTTGGAAGAGCTGTTTACCTTCCCCTTAACTGCCTAAAAGAATTTAGATTGACAGCAGGAAAAGAGCTAATACCAAAGATAACTTTTTATCAGAGAGACTTAGCTATGTGGTATGGCAAACATTTGTTTATCAAATATTTGCTCACCAAACATTTGCTCTTCTCATCCTCCTGTGAATTGCCTTCCTCCCATTTGAAGCCCCAGACCCTTACCCCTTCTTCTTAGCTGAGGGTGGCATGTAAACCTCAATTGCCTGAGTATCTTTGGGCCTCCGATATGCATGAAATTTGTTTTTCTTCTGTTAATCTGCTTTATGTCAATTTAATTATTAGACCAGCCAGAAAGGAAAAGTTTTCCACCCCTACACTGTAATATACCATCTCCTCTAAAATTTAATAAAGTAGGGAACCAGTGGTGATCCATTGGTTAGGACTCAGCGCTCTCACTGCCGGGGGCCCCAGGTTCAATCCCTGGTTGGGGAACTAAGATCCCGCAAGCCACAGGGCTCGGCCAAAAAAAAAAAAAAATTAATGAAGTATAATGGAAAAAATTTAAGAGGTACCTTAATGAACCATGAACATACATGAATTTTTAAAATTATTATACTTCTTATGTAATGAGGGGACCAATGAGATGTACAACTATTTTAAAGTAGAATTCAAAGAGCAAATACATAAATGCAATCACATATGCTAAAATGGATTTGTTACTACAAATATAAATTCACAAGGTAATAATTGCAAATTATTGCAAATACACAAGACAGAGTCAGCTACCCTCATCAGGAGTTATTTGCACTGTTGTCAACTCTCAATGTGAACATACATGAATTGTGAGTTAATCTCAAATTTATATTTCCTGGTTATAAATCTAGGGATCACCCTTGACCTCTGCTTGTTTCACATTCCTATACCCCATTCAGTTAGCGGACACTTGAGTTAACCCTGTAAGCCAGTGGTCTTCACATTTTTGTTTTTTTGCTAGAATAACCTGAAAATAATTTTGAAAAATTATGTATTCTCATACATCTTAAAATTGATATTTAAATTTTTTCTCATAAACTTAGTTATAAGGTTTATAATTTTTGTGTATTGTATAATGAATATGTACTTTAAATATATTTTTGTCAAAATCTTATGGCTGCATATTTAAGTTTTGGAAAATGTTTGCCATATGAACTAATTGGCAAAATCAACCCTCACTGGAAAATCAGTCAGTGAAATCAATCTTTCTATTAGAAAGAGTCTGTAATTTTTCAATTCAAATAGTGGTGTTAATATGTATCCCTCTGATAACCATTTCACTTTTGAATTTTAAATTAAATTCGGAACCTTGCATTTATACGTAGCCTGGATGACAGTAAGATGCTGCCTTGTTTAATATTTCTTGCTGAATTTCTCTCTGATTTGTTATCACAGGACTCTTCCTCAGGAAGGACTTATTCTTGACTTCTTATCCCTGGGACAATGCACCAAAGTGAGATGCTGGGTAGGTGAGGGAACATAGTGGGAGAAGGGTGGCTGTGAAAGGGGAAGTTGGAAAGCAGACTGCAGGCTTATTTTCAGGCAGATACAATTCATTTGCATCATTACTATTTTGGTGTAGTATCTAGAGTTGTTGTGTGGTTTCTTAAAATGATTTTCATCACTTGGGGGAAAGGGAGATTTCTACCTTGGGTGGCCAGGTAGAAGGTGTTATCATTTCCCAACTATCACGTGCTGTAGCCATACAAGTCCCCTTTCAGCTCTGGGAACATCCCAAGCTCTTTCCTGCCTCAGGGCCTTCTTGTGTGTTCTTCAGCTGGCAGTGCTCTTTCACTCCATTTTCTACGTAGCCAACTCCAACTAATCCTTTGCTGTCAGCATAATTGTCACTTTCTTAGTGAGGCCTTCCTTGGCTAGAGGGTTTACTGTGTGTCAGACACTATACTAAGTGCTTTACATATAATATTTTATTTAATATGATTAGGTCCTCATTAAATTCTTCCATAATGGCTGGAACTTTTCCTTTAAAGCACTTATTATAGTTTGTAGTTAAATATATATTTCTCTGCCTCACTCAGGAGACTATAAGCTTTCTCTGTGTCTCTTTGGCTCACCCCTACATCCGTAGTGTCTAGTACAGTAACTGACTGATCATGGGCACTCAGAAAATAGTTGTTGAATGAAAAAATGAATCGGAAACATTTGGAAAGAGGGCTGGGGCTTTTTATTTTTCTCTCTGAACCCTCTCTCTTTAGGTTATCTCATCAATTCTCAATTTAAACACCATCCATATGCTGATGCTCCCAACTTTTTACCTCCAGTTCAAAGTTCTCTTTAGTTAATCATCTGGATAATTGTGTGAAAGAACCATTATTATCCCTATTTTACAGATAAAACCCCTGGAGAAAATTACATGGTCCAGTGCCATCATCAAATGTAGGATTTCATGGATGTTATAATGCATTCCTAAGAAGGTTCTGCTATATTGTTCTCATTACAGAGTGCTGGATCAGTCTTTTTCAACATTACTTTCATTGAATTCAGAGTTAAAGACTCCCGTAAGATTTGTTATGTAAAGACACCTGGATTGGTTGATCCAAGCTGTTAGATAAAGATTCTGGTAATGAGTGGCGTCTGTTGTACTGGATAAGAAGGATTCTTTACAGAATTCTGTTTAACAAAGCTTATTTTTGCCTTGGTATGCCATGAGTAATAAAAAGCACCATTTATAAATACTTACAAATGCCCAATACAAATTTTAAGGCACCAACATGTACATAAAGAAACAAATCCACTTCTGTAGTTGTGGCATTACTATAGGCCATACTTTCTTTACTTTTGTATAAAACCATTTAGGATTAGACACTAACCCAAATGCCTTAAGAGTCTTGGAAAGGAAAGCTACAATAGATTAACAGTAACACTGTCTCTGTATGAGTTACTAAATCCCTGAGCAGGTGAAGTCTGAGTTAAGTCTTGAGGGGCAGATGGGAGTTGGCCCAGAACTGAGGTAGGAGAGGACAGGACATTGCACGTGCTGGGTGTCCAGGCATCATCCTCCATGCCAGAGGACAGCATGGGGGTCACTCAAATTCAGGGAACTACCAACAGTTTCTGTGAGGTTTGGGCATTATTGGGACAGGGGTGTAGGGAGAGATGAGGCTGGAGAAGCAGGTGGGGCCTTCAAGATCCTGAAGGATCATTACCACCCATACTAATATGCTGGGGGTTTACTCTGGGCAGCGGGAGCCAAGGAGGACTGTTATGTCCTCTGAGGGTCATTATCTGATCGATATTTCGGAAAGATCATGATGGAGACTATTAAAATTGTATTGCAATCAGGAATATACTTTAGACTCATGGGGGTGGGTGGGAGTGAAGGGATTTGGTAATGGATGAGACCTGGGGCATGGAGAGAGGAGGAGTCAGGGTGTCACTCGGTTTCTGAGCTTGGATGGGGGATGGTGGAAGGTACTCTTTGAAGTGGGAAAAGAAGTGTTTGGGGGCAGAGGGAAGAAAGGTGAGCTCTGTTTTAGAGATACCTATGGAGATGTCCAGTGTGCAAATAGAGAAGTCAGGAATTTGAGAGAGAGACCTGAAAATGTCTTTTGATTTAATGACACAGAACACATTAGCGACCTTAACAAATACTGCTTATGTGAAGTGAGGCTGGAGGCCAGACTGGAGGTTGCAGAGGGATGAGTGGCATGTGGACAAATTCATACAAACAGAAATAGAATGACTGAAGAGGGGAGAGGGCAGCAGCCAGGGGTGAAGAAAGGATTGTTTGTTTTTTGAAATAAGGATCTTTCTTTGTTTTTTTTTAAATTAAATACAGAGAAAATATCAATTGTACATGCTGAGAAAATTTAACAACACAGAAGTTATAAAAATAAAAGTAAAAACTTGTCAGCCTGCTTTTTAACCAGACTCTTCAGCTGTGGGCCTGGCATCTACCATTAAGCACTCTCCACTTCTGGCCCATTTCTGTTTAAACCTGTTCAAGCCTCTTTCACCCAAAACAACAATCAATAATTATAGTAGAAACCCTCACTCCTATACTACTAACCCATTGCTATCCCTTCTCTTTCTACCATGGCCAAAGTTTTCAAGAAGAAAAAACAAACACATTTTTCAACTCTTTATGTTCAAGCCCCAGGTACTGTTTGAATTGTCATCCACAACTACTAAATTTAGTAGATATTTGTCAAGCCTTGTCTTATTTAATCTCTTCACAGCATTTAATAGTATTGATTACTTTCCTTTAAACTTCCTTTTCTCTTGGTTTCCTCAGCATCAACTCATCCAAGTTTAATTCCTGTATCTCTGGAAATTTGCTTCTTTGTGGAATCATTTACTTTCTTATTGAATTTTGTGACATCTGTCCTCTGCCCTCTTTTCTTTTCATGTGGCATGATCTGGCAGCCTTAGTTATTCTTTAACTACATTGTGGAACAAAATTTGGGTTCAAATCAGACTCTGTCCCTTCCTGACTGAATGTTTGGTTTTTTGAAACAATGACCAGTTCTCCAATTTTCCGATACCAACTGGGTGTTCTATAATTTATTTTTTTTAATTTATTTTTATTTTTTTGTGGTACGCGGGCCTCTCACTATTGTGGCCTCTCCCGTTGCGGAGCACAGGCTCCGGATGCGCAGGCTCAGCAGCCATGGCTCACGGGCCCAGCCGCTCCGCGGCATGTGGGATCTTCCCGGACCAGGGCACGAACCCGTGTCCCCTGCATCGGCAGGCGGACTCTCAACCACTGCGCCACCAGGGAAGTCCTCTGTAATTTAATTCAATTATGACTCCAACTATCTGGAGTCAGTACAGACCCTGGATTCAGGGCTCAGTCTCACAAGACTGCTCCCACTTCAGATGCCCGCTGCAAATGGGGTGCCCAGGTTACTGCCACTTCTGCCTGGCTGACTATAAATTCAGGGATTCTCATGTCCCTCTCCCTGTACCCCCCACCCCAATTCAATAATTCACAGAACTCAAGAAAGCATATAGTTTCCATAACAATTTTATTATAAAGGATATATAACTCAGGGACAGCCAAATGCAAGTTCTAGGGTAGAGGTGAGAGGGTGGAGGGGCATTGGTGCAGAGCTTCCATGCCCTCTCAGCATACTACCCTCCTAGCACATCAAGTTCACCAACTTGGACTCTCCCCCAAACCTTGTCAGAGTTTTTATTGAGGTTTCATTACGTAGGCACAATTGATTTACTCATTGGTCACTGGTGATTGAATTCAATCTCTAATACCTCTCCCCTCCCCAGAGGTCAGGGGGTGGACTGAAAGTTCCAAGCCTCTGATCACATGGTTGGTTCCCCAATCCTGAAGATAATCTAGGGCTCTGCCCTGAGTAACTTCATTAGTATAAATTCAGGTATGGTTGAAAAGGGCTTGTTATGAATAAGAAAAGACACTCTCACTCAGGAAATTCCCGTTATGTCTGGGGTATTAGACTCTCTTAGCTCTTTTTCCATCTCTGGCTGTTCCTTCTGTCTCCTTTGAAAGTTCATCCTCTTTCATTAAAACCTTAAATGTTGGCAGTCTTTAAGATGTGCTTGATTCATTCATTCATTCATTGAGTTTATTCAATAAAGTGTTTATTGAACATTTACTGTATATCAGGTTCTCTTCTCAGTGCTAGGGATAGAGCAGTCAACAAAATATACAAATATTTTTAAAAAGTCATTTATGGGGGCTTCCTTGGTGGCGCAGTGGTTAAGAATCTGCCTGCCATTGCAGGGGACACGGGTTCGATCCCTGGTCCGGGAGGATCCCACATGCCACGGAGCACCTAAGCCCCTGCGCCACAACTACTGAGCCTGCTCTTTAGAGCCTGTGAGCCACAACTACTGAAGCCCACACGCCTAGAGCCCGTGCTCCGCAACAAGAGAAGCCACCACAATGAGAAGCCCACACACCACAACGAAGAGTAGCCCCCACTCGCCACAACTAGAGAAAGCCCGTGCACAGCAACAAAGACCCAACTCATCCAAAAATAAATAAATAAATTTATTGGAAAAAAAAGTCATTTATGGATGTTATGATGCATTCCGTAGAAGGTTCTGCTGTATGTTCTCATTGTAGAATCTGGCCTGGTCTTTCTCAACATTGCTTTTGTTGAGTTCAGAGTTAGAAGATGATCAGAACTAAGGAAAAAGATTAAAGCAGGAAAAGCTGATAAGGAGTACTAGAATTGGGGATTGGGTTACAATTAAATAGGGCAGTCAGGGTAAGGCCTCCCTGAAAAGATGACATTTTTAACAAAGACTTGATGGAAATGGGGGAGCTAGCCATTTTTGTATTTGGGAAGATGACAAATGCAAAGGCCCAAGGTGGGCGTATGCCTGATTTTTCAAGGCATATCAAAAAGGCTACTGTGTCTACATCAAAGTGAGTGGAGTGTATGGAAAGAGCTAGTGAAGGCCAAATTATGTAGAGCTTTGTTGGTCATTGTAAGGATTTTGGCTCTTACTCTGAATGAGATGGGGCACCACTGGAGGGTTTTGAGTAGAGCAGGGACATGATCTGACTTACACGAGCTAACAACAGTGTTACCTTGGCTGTTAGGTAGAGAAGAGACTGAAGGGGTGACTTTCTTCCCTCAACCCCCAAGCCAATTTCTTTCCTATCCCACTTTGGAAAGCAGTTTCTACCATCCAAGCCCAGGAACCTGGACGGCATCTGACTCCTCCTTCTCTCCCATACCTTACATCCAATCAGTTACCACTAATCAGGGAGACCAGTCAGGAAGTTATTGCAGTAGTCTAGATGAGGGAGGATGTTGGCTTGGACCAGGGTGGGAGTGATAGAGGTAGTTATTCCAGATGTAATTGAAGGTAAAGGCAACAGGATCTGCTGATGAATTACAAGTGGAATGTGAGAGAAAGAAACAAGTCAGGATGATACCAAGGATTTTGGCCTAAGCAACTGGAAGTGTGGAATTGTCCGCAGTTGAGACGGGGCAGACAGTAAGGAACAGGTTTAGGGAAGAAGATCAGGAATTCAGTTTTGGATGTATTAGGTTTGAGATAGACAAAAAGACCCATGCAATAGAATAGAGTACATAGACACAGACCTACGCATATGTGGACACCTGATTTACAATGAAGGTGTCATTGCAACTTGGCAGAGAAAATATGGTCTTTTTAACAAATGGTGCTGGATCCATTGGATGGCTGATGGAAAAAAAATGAGCCTTGACCCTATTATATCGCATGCACAAAAATCAGTTCCAGATGGATTGTATATGTAAACATGAAAGGTACAATAGTAAAGCTTCTGGAAGATAACATGGAAGATATTCATGACTGTAGAGGCATTATTTCTTAACAAAATACAAAAATCGCTAACCATAAAGGAACTATATTGATAAATTGAACTTCATTATAGTTAAGAATTCTTATTAATTGAAAGATACCAGTAATCATGAAAAGGCAAGCCTCAGAATGGGAGAAGATATTTGCAAAAACACACATCTGATGAAGGACTTTAAGTATAAAGAACTCCTACACACCAGTAAGGAAAAGTCTAACAACACACGTACATTAAGACTTGACCAGGCACATCAAAAAAGAGGATATGCAAATGATTAGTAAGCAAATAAAAGGGTACTCAGCTTTCTTAGTCATCAAGGAAATGCAAATTAACAGGTACACACCTATCAGAATAGGTGTGTATAGAATAGCTGCTAAAAAATAGAATAGCTGCTAAAAAAAACCCTGACAATACCAAATTTTGATAAGGAAGTGGAGAAACTGGAATCCTCATGCTCAGCTAGTAAGAGTTTAAATTGACAAAACCACTTTGGAAAACTGTTTGGCTGTATTTACTAAGGCTGAACATATACACTCCCTATGACCCAGCAGTTCTATTCCTACGGTATATACCTAACAGAAGTGACTGAAAGAGACAAGGAAAAGAATGTCCATAGTAACTTCTTTTATAATAGCACTGAAGTGGGAGCAACCCAAATATTGACCAGCAGTAGACCGGAAAAGTTGTGGTAAACGCATACAGTGTCTTTACTGCAATGATGAAGAATAGACCCAACAGCCTGGTCAGTCTCGTAATATTGAGAGAAAAAAGCTAGGCACGCAAGGGTATTTTTAAGTTTCATTTATACAACCTTTGAAAACAGGCAAAACTAAAATGATAGAACTCAAGATGGTTTTACCTTTGGGGAGGTAACACCATTGTTGATAAGGAGGGGGCACAAGGGGATCCACAAGGATGCTGGTGATGTTCCACTTCTTGAAATGAGCAGTGGTTACATGGGTATATCCATTTGTATAAACCCACTGAGCTGCATGTAAGATTTATATCATATTCTTTTTTTTTTTTTTTGCGGTACGCGGGCCTCTCACTGTTGTGGCCTCTCCCATTGCAGAGCACAGGCTCCGGACGCACAGGCTCAGCGAGCCCGCTCCGCGGCATGTGGGATCCTCCCGGACCGGGGCACGAACCCGTGTCCCCTGCATCGGCAGGCGGACTGTCAACCACGGCGCCACCAGGGAAGCCCATATATCATATTCTTAGTGTCTTGCAGCTCATTTTGGTCTGTTTTGTGGGTATGTTTTTCTGGATGCTCTGTTGTTTGTAGGGATGTTATTCTGTTCCTTACTCTTTTTTTTTTTTTAACATAACAACTTCGTGAGAATTCAACCTAAATCCTTTTTTGTGGCTGACTTTTATGTATTCTTCCTGAACGTTTAGAATGAGGCAGGAAAGCTTTTTATAACTTCACAAAGACCCCTCTGTGTTTTGGTATAATGTTAAAAATATGAAGCCTGCTTTCTGAGATCTGTGGGATCTGTTCTTCCTGGACTTTGATCAGGACCTTGCCTCTCTCTTGTCCTTGTCCTGCTCAATTTTGATTCTACTCCCTGCATTTTCTCTCCAGGAGGGGGCCCTGTTCTAGAAGGAAGCCCTGGGAGTTGAGTTCTGAGAGTTCATAGGGGCCAAACTGCCGCAGCCTCCTCAGTCCTTACTGGGTACACTTTGTACTCTCCCAGTTTCACCTGTGCCTTCTGTACCTGTTGCTCTTTTGGAGTTCTGTTCTCAGGTCCATCATACACTGCCTCATTTCTTCCTTCTTCTCACACATGCTGATACAGTGCAGGTTTTGTGACTGTTGATTTGTCCCTGCTTGCTTTCATTTGGGGGTTCATGGGGATACTTTATCATTAAAGCTTTACTGTGAATGTCCGTAGGGTTTACTTTTGCTTTCTAGTTGCTTATCTGTTTTTATGTGAGGATTCAGAGATTGAAAAGCTGTGCTGCTGCCACTGCTGCCGCTATCTTCCCAGAATCTCCTGTATGTATATTTTTAAAAGACTTTATTTTTTAGAGAAGTTTTAGGTTTATAGAAAAATTGAACAGAAAGTACAGAGAGTTCCTATATATACTCCCTCTCCTCCAGTTTCTCCTACTATTAACATCTTGCATTAGTGGTACATTTGTTATCATTGAAGAGCCAATAGTGTTACTTAACTGAAGTCCATAATTTACATTTGTGTTCATTCTTTACATTGTATAGTTCTGTGGTTTTTGACAACTGTGTAATGTGATGTATATTATATTTCTATAAGAGTTAAAAAGCAGAATCA